ACTCCTGCCTTGCCAAAATTTATATTTGTGCCCCCTAGTCCTACTATTCTTACCATCAAGTATGAAAAAAGATGATACGTCAACACTATCAATTCCCTTTATAATCTTAAACACCTCAATCAGATCCCTCTAGCTCTTCTTTTTTCAAGAGAAAACAGTTTCAAAAGTCTTAATCTCTCCTCGTATGACAAACCATCCAGCCCAGGTACCATTCTAGTAACCCTTCTCTGAACCTTTTCCAAGAATTCTATCTCCTTCCTAAGGTAAGGAGCCCAAGACTGAACACAATACTACAAATGTGGCATAACCAGTGACATATACAACATAATTATAACCTCTTTAGACTTGTATTCAACATTTCTGTAGATACAACCTAAAATCCTATTTGCCTTACCACTAGCAACAGCATTAGACTAGTATAATTTTCAGTTCAACAGTAACCTAAACTAGAAGCTGCTAATCACTAACTCATTTGTGAATTTTTATTATCCCTCACTAAAATTTGTAATTTCAATGAAGAAAAGAAAGAACATAAATAACATATAGGTCTAATCTATTATTTGATTTTATATTCTTTCTACAGCACACTATAGTTTTCTTGAATCACAGCTCTTCAGTACTGCTTAAGAAAGCAAGCCAAGAGATGCAGTAAGCCTCCATATAGCAGTGGAATGAAAACATTCTGTAAGATTTGATTTAAAGGACGTTATATCAAATCCTACAAATCACTGTATAAACCATCGATCAGTTTACAGGAAAATGATCTTCTACGCTTTACGTTCTATTACCAATATGTTTTGTTTCTTTTGAACTGGCAAATATGCACTACAGCGTACCAGTCACAGTGTCAGGAGACAGAAGCAGAAAAGATCTAAGCATTCTGATTACACCTATCACTGGCTCATCTAAGTATCTAAGGAGTCCTCCAGTGCTTAACGTCTCAGAAATTATGCTTTACACAAATACAGAGAGAGATGAAAAAAGAATGCAACTGATCCAAACCAATTCCACACCATTCGAAAATACCCATTACGAAGAGAGCTGAGGAAGTTGTTGAAAGGATAGTGTGTTCCCAGTCATCCTATGAACAGAGGTGCTTCAAGAACACACCAGACCAGAAATTCTGTTATGAAAAATGGTATAAAAGAGCCAATACAGCAGGGCAATCAGAGAGAGATTGTTAAGAATCTAAAAACCCTATCCAATAGCCAGCCATGCAATGGAGGGGAATAATCCTATAAAAGATTAAGGAATGAGGATTATAGTACAAACACAGCTTATTCCAGCGAGATGAAATCCACTAAAGACCTAATGGAGGGGAATAATCCTATAAAAGATTAAGGAATGAGGATTATAGTACAAACACAGCTGATTCCAGTGAGATGAAATCCACTAAAGACCTAATGGAGGGGAATAATCCTATAAAAGATTAAGGAATGAGGATTATAGTACAAACACAGCTGATTCCAGTGAGATGAAATCTACTAAAGACCTTACAATAATGCAAGTAATTGAGGATAATGTTGTGAGAAGTACTGCATGCCAGCTAACATAATCACCTCCTTAAATAAAAAAGAAAAAAAGCAGCAGAAACCAACAATACTACTAGAAAATAAATCTGAAGTAACTTAGAATTCATATTTTAGATCAAATGATTCAAGCAAACCAGTCAGCAATAACCAACATTTTTATAAATGAGAGATACAATGGAACAGTGCTAACAATACCTAAAATATACAGTATGAACTGCACATGACAGAGGATCAACAGAAAAGTACAAATTAAAACCGAAGAGGGGGGCTTGGACCGTCACATTACCATAAAAGTTGAGCCAAATTCCAGGTCAGGAAAGAGGTAAAGAAAAAATCCTCTGAATATATGGTTATAAAGAAGCCAATAGTATGGATCTTATAATAAATATAAAGTAAAAAAATAATATGTCTTCTAAGATAAAGCCAAATAGAACAAAAAACAAGAGGTTCAACATGAATACCCACAACTTGTCTTCATCTAAAGATTAATGTACCTATAATATTCTAAAATATATATATTTAATAATAAAATGCACATCCAAGTAATGCACACAGCTTTATAGCATTTCTATTATTTACCAACACATTCTAGAAAATAAGCAAAACCTGCTTCAAGATACAAAACAATGACATCTAGCTATCACAAGCGAGGATGATACAAAGTTTAATACAAGAATTAAAAACAAATACAATATTAATCCAATTAAAATATTTTTTGTTTATGCATGTTTATCAGCATAAAGATGTTTAATAGTTGATTATATAACACCATGAGATATAATTATTAAAAAAGAACCTTTATTATACATTCCAATAGAAGCACAAGCTTAATACACAACCTAATCTTTATTCAATAATCTTTTGTTTTATCAAGAATGAATAAAATAGCCATCTAGCAAAATAAAAAAAATATCATTCAAATAATCTTTTTATTTTGTCACTTTTTGTGGCTTTATTTTATGCACCTCAAATTGTTTAACTCATACGGGCATGTGTTGCTAGAGGATTGTGAAACTTCATATTTGTTTGCATCGGAAAATATTTCAAATAGTGTTATGAAATCCAAAATTTAAACTTCTCAGAAATTTCACTACAACTTTTGTTGTTGTTGTTGCAGGGGCTATGTTACAACTAAAGTAGCTGTGAAGGTAATTTGTTCTAACATGTATTTTCTGGAATAATGTGGTAGAACAAGCTGTAACTGTTGACGACAAAATGAGCACATTTACACCCATCTCCTTTGTTTGTAAGGAGTTAGGGCTAGGAAATCTACCATAATAAAAACTAATACCTGCTTGTGAGCTTCATGTTACTACCTAATCAAGTATTCCTTTTTTTCCCACAAGAAAAAAAATTGCTTACAAGTTAATAAATCTGTTTAAATCTATAAAACAGCATTGATATTAAATTAGGTGCTACTTTGTTATAATAATTAACTGTAAGCCTAACACAGGTATTACCTTCACTTTTTGAATAGTAACAAATCTGCAGTCACAATCAAAAACCAAAACAGTATAAATAACACTAATTTGGAAAAGAGATGAATAATTTGTAACAAACTCTAATGCCATTATGAAAACCTATGATCTTAACATTTGATTTATTTCTGTGTTTAAGCACAAAGTTACACAGTGAGCTATCTGCACTGTCCACGAGTGTCAAACCCAGACTTTTAGCATTCTAAACCTTCAAGCTGAGCCACCAAGGGTCTTAAAATGTGTGGCAACAATAATTTTGATTGTACGTTACCAGTCTGATCTCATTTCTAGTAAGTGGAAGTTATATAAAGTTAAAATAAAGTATCAAGAGTGAATAATGCAAGGGTTTTACTCAAATTATAAAAAAATACATCAATCCCAAGTTTTTCTATCCCCATCTGCATTCTTAATGGATCTTAGTTACTAGCTACCACTGTAAGGGGACTTCCGGTAGAGACAGAATTCAGACTTATTCATCATTACATGTTTGTTACAAAACACTGCAGAGCAGAGCTGGGCAATTAGTGGAATTTGATAATCAATTAATCATCAGCCTCATTAAACAGTTACATTCAGCTAATTAATAATTCTCCCATGAAAGTTAGACAGTTGGAATAATAGAAAATAGCAATAATCTGAAACAGTTATTTTGAGTGTTTGGTTATTTTTGTGAATCACCACTCTAATCAATTAAATTGAACAACACTGAATTAATTGAAAATAATAAGAAATCATTATGGCAATATTTCAGTTACTTGGATAGTTGCAATAATTGAAAACAGTAATAATCAGAAACACTAACTACAAATAGTTAATTATTTTCTTGACATTAATTGATTTAATCATAAGTTTGATTAATCAATTATTTTACATGACACTAATAAATGTAATTGATGCTCATAAGCAACTGATTATATCAATAAATTGAGTTAATTGCCCAGCTCTACTGCAGTGTGTGACAAGAATAAATTAATTGTTTTATGCTACTTGTTTCTGTTCACCATGTTACAGCGTATCAACTCACGTAGAAAGGTTTTTATGAAGATAGCTAGTGAGGGATGCAACAAACATGACTGTATAATGGCAACTGAGGTAGGAGGAGAACATGGGTATAAAAAAAAGACTTACAGACAGGTAAAAGCTTCAACCCCACAGAGCAGTATTATAAAAGCCACCATTTAGTGAGCCAAACAACCAAAGAGAAGGTGAACATTTAATTTTACTGAATAATATAAAATGACACCAGAAAAATCAAGAACTTCTTACCCTTATGAACCACACGTTTTGAATATAAAAACTTAAACAATTATCTTTGAAAACTTGGGAATTCTGCCATTGTTTTCTTAAAGAACAAAGCAACTTTATTGTTTTTGTAATAATTACTCTGTCTTTTCTACAAGATTAAAATGTAGTGTAACAAATAATGACAAAAATAAAATACAAATTAGTAAATACATGGTGCTTTGCCCCAAATTTTATTATTCAATTTGAAGGCCTATATAGACTCAATTTTATACTTAAATATATCAAACTGCAATTCAATTCTTATATGACACAAATCCAATTATTTAGCAGCTCTCTTCCGAGATGCAACACCCAAATGGTGCACGTCTTGAATATATGTACTTATTCATTTGACTGACATTACGGACCTATATTACATATATCTGTGTATTTATATAACTATTATTTTATTTACTTTTTAAAAACTATCTTAAAAGTGATGGTGAGAAAGACTTCCTATTTTTTAAAGTGTGGGGGAAAAAAATTGTGTTGTTAAAAAAAGAAAGAAAGAAAGAAATGGATAACACTGACAACAATTAGTGAGAAAAATATTCTTAGAGGTTAGAGTTCAAGGTCACACACAAAAACTGAAAGCAATCATGCAAATTCAGATCCCAGATCTTTAAAGGCACCAAGTTATAGTTCCCAGGTCTCAGTACTGAGAGGTTAGTTTAAGAAAGCAAGGTACAAGAAACACGGGACTTACATGAAGGAGAGAAAATGTCACTATCAGGTGTTAGTGCACCAAACTGGAGAGCTCCTGCAAGATAAGGTGGTTGTTGCTGTTGTGGAATTGGCTGTGACTGCTGCTGAGCCTGCACTTGCTGTTTCCTGCGCCTTAAGCGAAATGACCGCTTGTGTTTGTATTTAGGACGGGGGGTACTTTTGAAGAGAGGTTCCTCATCATCTGACAAGTCACTGTCATCTGAGGGGGAGTTCCCCCCACTTCCATGTACTGTAAACAGTTATGCATTGAAGCATTTTAATTTTTAGTTCAACCTATAAGGTTGCTAAATAAACCCTTTTCTTTTTACATTTAATAATAACAGAAAAAATACCTAACACAATAAATATTAACAGTCAGAAACAGTTAATTATGATAACATTTCCAACCCTAAACCAAATAAATCAAGACTAAAACAGTTCCAAAATGAAAGAAACAATATGATTGATTTTTCTGGTTGTATGACTTCTCTTCATCAAAATTATCAGGAGTCAAATGTGTTGCAGTACAACTAACTGCAGCACTAGGCTGTTGCTAACATATGACCTCACAAGTTATTAGACTAAAAAATAAACAATTTCAAACAGTTTACTATCGAATAACAGAAGCTTCTTAAAAACTAAGTGTTTCTTTTTCATAAGAATTATCAAATTATTTAGAAGTGAGTCTTTCAACTTGAACAATGTGTTCAGTCCAACAAAAGTAAAATTTAGGTAGGAATTTTTGAAAATTCTCAGAACATTTTAGGTAGTTCTTGAGAATAAAAAAAAAAGAGAGATGAATGAACATTTTCAAATTTTCAATAACAGCGAAAAGACCAACAAAACTTCAAAAGCCAGAATCTTTTGTCACCTGCTTTCCATTTATTATGGTGTGGCAATGATGTATACTTTGAACTTCTTCATAATGTAAAAAATGAAACTTTTCTACAGCATTAATTTTATTTTGCAAAAGTATCAACACAGATGAAACAAAATTAAAGAACTCTACATTAACTTTATGAAATGACAATGGAACTGCAACATTAAAAACATCAATAAACATATAAAAATCATACGTAGCTCCCAGAATTTTCTTCACAATAATTATAATGTCAAATACTGTGACCCCAATTTTCATTTTAAATTTTTTTAACTGGAGTTTAACATAATGTACTGAACTCTTATGCCACAGCTATTATTTCCATAATGTCAGAGAAATTAGTTTTGATTAAATTTAAAGTTCACTGAAGATTATTTGTTTAGTTATTACCTAATACCTATATAATATATTTAATCATTAAAAAACAAATCAACTTTTATATTTAGTCTCGACAATCTTGCTTGTCACTGAAGAAGAAATGTCCACCTTTCAAAAGCGCTCAGGTTATAGGGTTTTTATTCATTGCTTTTGTTATAATTTCACATCTACAGAAATGGTATACAATTTTAAAGATTTGCAACTGACAAACGTTAATGTTACCATAACTTGAAGAGACATATTCAATTACTTTTATTATAAATCAAAATATAAAGATTATTATGAATTTTAGGAGAAAATCAATCCCTGAACTAAGAACTTTGGTGAATTTTACAAAATTAAAAAAAAAAGGAAGCATTTGGGAACTTTCTCTCTCTTTTTAAACTGATCCATTGGACTTTCTTACTTCACAATATTTTCACAAGTTTTTCTTTTTCAAGTAAAACTGCAGGATATAGGCTTAGCTAGAGCTGAAAGTGCTATTCATAAAATAGCAACCGCTCTGTAAGAAAAATATACCATTGTATGGATAGTACTGTGTAAATCAACCACATCTGAAGCTTCTGTTATATCTTTACAAAAATTATCAAGGGCTTCAACAATGATGAATACTACAAATCTGTCTTAGAGGTGCATAAAAATTTTGAATAATAATTTTGACATCAAAGAAGTATCTGATTTTAATAAACATATAAATACACATACCTATTACAACTGTACATGCTTATACACGTATCAATCTACACAATATACTTATATAGCGATTAAAAGTATGATGACCAAGCTGGGTAATAAAATAGGATCATCATCTTTCCCATGCTTTACAAGGAAACTTCTGGTTCATGAGAAAATACTTACTCATATTTATAATTAGTATTTGTATTGGCAACTTATAAAAATGAACCCTATTAGTACTGATTTTAACCAACAACAAGTAACTAGAATATATCATTCAAATACACAATTTAATGTTTTTTTTGTTTTTTTTAAGTATATAAGAGGCTTTATTTTGCACATCAAGTACCACTCAAATTTATACACATCAGTTTGCATCATTTTCATGTAAATAAAATATCATTGTCTAATGAATTACGTTTTTAATAAATACTTGAATTTGATAAATTCAAAATATTCCAAAAAATTAACAAAATAATCTGTGTCAAATCAATTGTTAATTAAAAAAATGACTCGTGCATAAAAAGTACAGATAAAAACTTATAAGAGTGCAAAAGTCATGTTGTGACAGAATTTCATAGAACTGTCAGGTGACAAGCAATAAGAGCAAAGAAATGTGCAAATTTCAAACTTCTACATTTTAAAAACTCAGAAAAATAGCAACTTAGTTTTCCTTAAGCCTTCTGTTGTTAACAGGTATTATTCAATCTGAATAACTTGATACTCATGAATATCAGAAACCCAGCTTCCCGGAAAATAGAAGCTATCAGCTTTAATTACAAATAAGATTAATATATGTGTTTTGTATTTATTATAATTACTGAAGATTGTGATTTATATATTGATAAATGTTATGACACATAATAAAAAAATGTTTTAACCTTGATATTGATGAAGTTATCTTACAAATATCTGGAGTTATACTAATTTTAATATATGATTAAAAGATCTTGGAGATGAATACACATCCAAATAATAGCCTGAATAACCTTCATAAAAACTATATATATATATATTAAAAGAAATTTATAAATAATTTAAAAAAAATCAATGAAATGCTTATTTATGTAATACACTAGATTTTTTATTTATTCAGAAATTATTTAATTCTCAGTAAAGGTAAATAAAAGTTGTTGTGTTGTGAATGTCAATCCTTGTCAGAAAAAAGCTAATAAATATACTGATTAACATAAAAAACAAACTAACATCAGCTACAACCAAAATATAAGTTGGTGCCATCAAGGTTTGCGTGCATCAGGACCAGGGGACTAGAAGAAAGACAATTAACACAGTGCTACCTTTATTCAGTGGATCAAGGGACTGGGTACCCATCATCCTTTCACCCCCTGGGAGTGGGGGAAGTGGGGGAGCTGGCCCCTCAAAAGATGGAACACGGGGTGGGGCAACAGGAACACCACGTTTTTTGCGAGTTTTCTTGTGGGGAGTAGGTTTGCGATTCACTCGACTATAAACATCTCTGTGCCTACGCTCCAGAGAACTCCATTCACTGTCTGAGTCAGAGCCAGCTGTTAGAAGAAAAGCTTCTGTCTTTTAAGAACAAGAATCTGTGATCAGCTACAGACCTCTCTAAATGTAGTTTCTACACACCTTCTTTGCTTGTTATATAAAATGGTGTTAGCTAAGACACATGTATTACAAATACAGAAAAAAGATTCACACAATACAATTTCATAACTGTCATTTCATTCTCATTAATAGCTGCAACCAACTTTTCACACCAATACAACAAAAAAAACGTTCATACACCTCAAATTTTACTCATGACTTTATCAAGACACAAATCACAAATACTGAATAAATGCTTGATAAAAGCTAGCTGTTTTGTATAGCTTTTAACACCAAAGACTATACAATTAATAATTACAGTATATGATGTTCAAGGAAACTGTTTATTACACACAATGACTACAATTGGTCTAGCACAAACAAAAACTCTTATAAACATCATAATTAAAATGTGATAAATAAACAAAATAAAAAGGTTTTCACAGTCATTATACAAAAGAATTTTTCTAAAGTGGTCTATTGGTTCTTAAGTATGGTTTAATAGTACAATCCATAAAGCTAACTGAATAATTTCAAAGATAAGGAAGTGGATAAAAGGCACATACTTATCAACTTTCATAAATGTGCTTTGCAAATACAAATCACTTCAAACTTATTACTTATAAATTTTTTTTTTTACCTCTTTCAAAAGCTTCTTTATTCCCATGCCTTCGCCCTAAGGACCTGACTCGGTGAGACTTGCTATCAGGTAAAGGATTGTGAACCACAGCATAGGAATACTCACTAGCATCTGCAGTACACAAAGGTACTGTGTCCTATTGTACAAGAAAAAATAAAATGATAACTAATCACAATCTTGACATATTTATTTAGCTTTGACATAAGAGAAACTTTTGATATACAGATTCACAAATGCATAATGACAAAAATATCCATGATTTATACACTGTTGTTTCTTCAGAAATATAAATGGTAATGAAGGTTTTCTAGATTACTAATCTAATTATGTACATGTTTCATGAACACATACTAAAACTCAATATGTTGCTGAATAAAGTAAAAAGTAGAAAACATATAAAATAAAAAGTCTACAAAGTTTAAGATAGTAATAAAAATAACTTCCAATGATTTGATGAAAACAAAATTCTTGTGAAATATTGATAAATTATGTAAATGTCAAATTTGAAGTTTTTATCTACTTTGTAATTTTACCTAAGATTATTCTATGCTAAAAATACAAAACTATAATCAGAGTGCTTTCAAAAGGTGGACCTTTCTTCATCAGGAGACTGAGAATAAGTACGTAAAGTTTGAGTGACATCATGCTAGATCACCATGATAAACTGGAAGTCTTTTCGATTAGCTTTCAAAGGATTGTTTGCAAGTGTAGCTCATTTCTATTGTAAAATATGACAGAAATGAGAGTTAAATATAGAGAAGTGGTTTAAAAAATGTCAAGAAAAAGTATATTGGGTATAGATAAAGTAACATAAAGATGTAATATGAAGATCAATAACAAATGTTATGTAGATAGAACTAAAAGGATAAAAACAAAGATGGAAAATTATCATCAATAAATAATAGTATTAAGAAGGATAATGGGTAAAAATGATTTACCACACACACACACACACACACACACACACACATAAGAAAAAAAAT